CTGCTGTCCCTGGCGGACCCGACGCAGGGACCTTCCTCTTGGACAAGCCTGGAAATCTAGGTGAGGACTCTGTGGATGGGAAGGACTCGGGCACCGGGTGGTTGCTGGGTTTCTAGGGCGTCTGTCCAGCGACGCCCTGCAAACCCCTGGGGACCAGACCCCACTAGGGCTTCTCTTCCAGCGGGTGGGCCCAGGGGGTGGGGGAAGCTGGGGCTCGCGGGTCTTTCTGGTGGGTTAGTCTTCTGCAGCACGAATACGCCTCTCTCTCTCTACCTTTGGAAGTCGTGTGTGCGGTGTTCACTGCGGCATTCAGGGTGGGGTGCACATGATATTTCTGGGCGTTCTCGGGTCTAGGAGCGGGATTGCTGAGCGGGGTGGATGTTCGGATTTGGTGGGGCTGCCTGGGAGCTCTCCAAGGGACGTAGACCAGCCTCGGCGGACATTTAATTTGAATTGTATTGAATCCACAAGTCGTTTTGGCGGGGCGGGAACCACTGACACTTTTATACATGATTGAGATTTACAATCTAAGTATGTCCTTTAGCCCCGGCTGCTGTGGCTCAGCGGAGTGAAAGCCTGCCTTCCAACTGAGAGGTGGCCCGAGGGACTCCCAGTCAGGGCCCACGCGTGGGTCGAAGGCCAGGTCACCACTTGAAGACGTGTGAGAGGTGGCCGGTCCATGTTTCTCTTGCACGTGGATGTTTCTCCCCCTCCCTACCTCTGCATGGGAAAGGAAGCATATAAAATCACGCAAAGAGAAAATTAAAACCCAATCGACGTCTATCGTTTATTTCTTCATTTGGACTTTACAGAGGTTCTCTAGAAAGTGTTTTTATTTCCATCACTGTGGCGTTAGGTGTGGGTTTGGTTCTTGTACTTTATGATTGCCTGACATATTGAAAGGTGTTTTCCAATGTGTCCTATTTGTAGGATTCAGTTGACAGATTTGCTTATCAGTTGATTCTATTATTTGAGGCAGGGACCTGACTACAATGGTTCCGATTTTCATTATGTAACTGGACATTTTTTGAAGGGGGCTGTGTGGGTTTATCATCGAAAAATTAATAAAGTGCATGGTTATCTTGTAAACACTGTTTCCTGCAGAGTCTGCACGTTGGTCCCCTTCTTGGGTGCCCCCCCCCTTCAGCAGGGTGGTACATCCCTCATGCCCGCTTTCTGCTCCTTGGTCTCCACCTCCCGCTTTCTCTGCCGCCCCCTTGTGGCCGCCCTGGCCTGTAGCCGGTTTTCTGGCCAGGTCCTGGCCCTAGTTTTCGCCCCACGGGCTCTGATCCCATTAGGCCCAGACAGCCTCGGGGGAGCAAAGACAGAATTAGATCAGATTGGCGGGTGGTCATGGAGGCACGCTCTCGGCAGGGAGTGTTGGGGGTTGCGGGGGCAGGTACACTGCCAGGATGCAAGGAAACCCCCTCCCGCTTGTCTGAGAGACCCAGGTAGGTTGGGACATGTGCACACAATGCACACACAATGCACACACACACACACCGAATCCACAACTCCATTCAGACCCTGACCTCATAGTATGGGCAGTAAGAAATCTAAGAATTTCCCATATATCCCTGGAGAGGAAGCTTAGGTGCGGAGGTCGTCCTAGGGGATGTTCTTGGGGGCAGGAGGGGGGAGGTAAGTTTCAGATTCATACCCTGGAAGAGTGGGGGATGGGAGGGCAGTGCCCGCGGTGCTGCAGATACCCCAAGTCAAGGTGGGGATGGAAACCGCGGTAATTTTCTAAAGAATGGAGACAGAGTTTGTGGACATCCGACTGTCTGATAAGAAAGGGACTGGATTCAGCAGAAAAGGACACCTTCCTTGCCCATCTTCTCATTTCCGTTCCAGCTTCTTCCCCACCACGCTCAACTTCCACCCTCTCCCTGAGCCTGGGGTTCTACCATCTCCTAAGAAGCCCACCCCAGGTCTCCTCACAAGTCCAGGCTGTGCCCTGACCATCCCCAAGAACAGTCCTGGACCTCCCCTCACTTCAGGCCTTAACTTCCCCATTGCTTTGTCTCCCAGGAAAGTGCCAGAGCAAGAATTTCTCTTTGCACGGCTGTAGCAAAATTAATTATTTAATTTTAAAAAATTTGCACCAGCGGTCACATGGCTATGGGCTCACTGTTGAACTTCCTGGCACCTAACAGGAGCCCTGTGACCCACAGTGACCCATCTCTGATCGTATTCTAGGTGGTTTTTGTAGGACTATCGGCCTCCATGGCATCCGTGGTAAAGATGTGAATCTGTGTGTTTTGCTTTGGAGAACACAAATCTTTTAGGCTCAGGACGCATATGGAGAGAGTTCATTGCACATTCCATGAATGGGCGAAGTTCAAGCTTAAGGCCATTCTGGGTGCTTGGGGTGGAGACAGCAGTGGTTTGGGTAGAAGGGTCCTTGCCTTGTTAGAGGATCACAGAGGGGAGAAGGAAGCCAAATGGAAATCCGGAGAGCCCAGGAGTGAGGGAGGGGGCAGAAGGGACCAGAAGGGTCTCTGAACTCAACAGGCCTGAGTCACCAGAAATAGCTAGGTGGCAGCGTGGGGTCTGTCAGGACCCAGAGACACAAGATGTCCCATCCTCCTGGAGGAACGAGTGTGGACCAGATACTAAGAAGGCAACCAGATCCAAGGGGCTGGAGCAGGGAGGCAGGCAGATGATCAGTTTCTTGCTTGGTTTCTACTGGCCTCCATTTCCAGGGTGCAAAGATGGGCATCAGAGAAAATAGAAGAGGTAACCCATTTTCCAGCAGTGACAAGTTGGGTCTCTGAGTGGCGCAGAGGGTGGAGAGTCATTCCAATTAGACAGAATCGCTGTCTGAAATCCAGGTGTGCTGGCTTATAAGCCTGGCGAGGGGAAAGGTGGGCATTGGACACCTCACCTGGAGTCTGCTCACAGGTGCCCCCTTCCAACCAGACATATTACTGGCCATCTCCAAGCTCCAAGTCTGCGGGGTCCTTCCGAGAGAATGCACACTACGGGGGGGGGGTGCTTCAGGTTTAGCCACTTGGGCGATCTGAGATGCCAGGGGCCTCAACTTTGTCCCCTGGGGTTTCAACATTCTTCTTCCCCAGGCCAGTTCAGCAGGGTCTCTGGGTCTCGTTCCAGCGTGCAAACCTCGGTCAGTCCCTGACCAGGAGCAGGTGGACTCACTTGATACCACGGTGTCATCATGAAGACACACCAAGACTTGAGTTCATGAAGAGGAAATTCTGAATTGCTCTGTCTGGTTGTCCCTTCGCAGAATCCACCAAAAACAAAAAGGAAAATACTCAAGTTCCCTAAAAAGAGAGATTTTTTAAAGTGGGCCCCAGCTTGTGTGGCTCAGTGGATTGACTGCCAGTCTGCAAATTGAAGGGTCACCGGTTTGATTTCTAGTGGGGGCACATGTCTGGGTTGGGGTCCAGGTCCCTACTAGGGGGTGTGTGAAAGGTAATTTTCACAGTAAACTGATTGCAAAAGGGACAGCTGGGTCAGATCGAAGATGGGGTTCATTCAGGAGCACCCATAGGGCTGGTGTCCACATACCTGTGGTAATGCCTCCAGACCACCAGGGGGCAGTAACACACCACTGCTCCAGAGCCTGGGACCTGGAGTGGGATGGGAGAGATGCTCCACATTCAGGTGGGAGAAAAGACACAGAGGTATGATTATACTTGTTTCTGTGTGTATAATTTAAAGCTGAAACCAAACAGCTAAAGAACGCTGATTTGTCCAGGATTTGGAACCATGTCTCGCGGGAATTTACATGGGAACAACCCATTGCACACAGGTCTTTGGAACCCGCAGTCCCAGTCCTGGGCATGTTCCCCCAACGGGAATGTGCACCGAGAGACCCACAGCAAGACGTGTGCAGAGGCGCCTGGAGAATCAGAGTCCAGATCGGGAACCTCCCAACCGCCCATCCACCATGTAGTGAATAAAGTCAATTTTGGTGCAATTGCCCAATGAAATGCCCTATGTGAGCACAAACACTTAACATGAGATCTACCATCTTCACAAATTGTAGACAGACAATCCAGGATAGGCACCTATGGGTTCAATTCTAGGGCCGGTCTCTAGAATTCACACACCTTGTATGACCAGATCATCGTACCCAAGAACCCTGCAACCTCCACGGCCCCTCCCCCTGCCCTCGGCAGCCGCCTGTTGGCCTTGGAGTTGGCCTGTTTTACATTCCTCATCCCAGTGAACCTATGAACCAGTTGTCCTTCTGTCTGGCTTCTGTCGCTTAGCGCATTGTCCACCAGGGTCATGCTCGTTGCTGCACATGGCAGGGTCATGCTGCACATATGAATCTTCTCTTTAAGATTCAATAACTGTCCCTTGTTGTACAGATCTCATTTCCTTTATCCATTTGTCCCTCGAACATTTTCCAGGACAGCTTGTGTGTTATGCCAAAGCAGTGTTTGAAACAGGGAGAAATGGATGGGGAAGGAACCCAGGTCCACCCACGGAAGCGTGGGGCACTAAAACAGGTCTGGGTACTAAACGCTGAGCTGGTTATATAGTCAGCATGGATGAAAACCACGTCTCAAACATGGAGGAAAAATGCCAGTTGATGGAAGCGTTATACAGTATGCCCTTTACCTATGTTTCCAAAGCCTCCATTAATACTATATATGGTTTCTTGTCAAAGACCACATAGCAAGAGACTAAATACTGCCAGGTCACGCTACTAAAAAGTTAGGCAGATAAGAGGCCATGGAAAGACAAGAAGCCTTAGCTGCTTTTGTCATTTTATTTCTTGTTTTTATAAACATTTTTTGCATAGCTTTGGCAATACTTGTATTATTCGGTATCATTCTGAATGTATTCAGTGTTTTTAAGAGCGTGGATGCCATACTGTGAACTAGAGATGTTCTGGTAATTTTTAACAACCGAGGTGTCAAAGGTCAGAGAGGCTCCTGATGAAATAACAGGTTTTATGCAGTGGCAGCCAGCCATTCGAGGCAGGAGAACAAATATTTATCCCTGTGAGATGTAGAAGCCTGTCAACATTGTCCCCATGAAATCAGCGCTCGAGGAAGGCCGGCCATCTTCTCCTGGAATATTTTGTCAAAGGCTTCAGCTTGGCCACCATGAACTGATTTTTCCAGTCCCCAGCAGTGCCTGAGAAAGATAAAAGGATACTCAGATCAGAAGTAGGGTCAGGTCTCCAGTCCCCAACACATCTCGGCAGCTAAGATCACAGAATGACCCCTGCATTTTTGGTGGGCCTTTCCCTCCCCCAGCCACACCCGTGGGGCGTATCCCCACTTCCCCGAGTCTGGAAGTGATTCCCTATCTTCTCCTTTCTCCCAGCCTATGCTGCGTACACACCCTTCATCATCACTAATGCAGCTCTTTGATCTGATGCATCTACATCTGACCCTGTTTCTCCACCTCCATTTCTGACACTGTGGCCCTGGCCAGCATCCTCTCTCCCCTGAGTTAGGGTATCAGACTTCTCATTAGTCTCTCTGATGTGGCTCTTTCTCCTTTCTAAGTTACTCTCAGCATGGCAGCCATCCTGATACCTTGAGAAACAAGATGGCTTGTTTCAGGGTGGTGTCACTTCCTGCTCAGAACTCCAAGCTCTTCTGGGGCCACTGGGAGAAAGTGCTCTGGCTTCCACAGAGCCTCTGGCGACTAAGTCCCCTCTCATTTCTCTGACTCCACCTCTCATGACCGGCCACTTGCTCACTCACCTTCCTCGCATTGAGCCTTCTGATTTGGCCTCCAATGTGCTAGGCACCCCTCCCTTCTCAAACTATTTGCAGTTCCCATCCCTTCTTCCTGGGATGTGTCTTGCCCAGGTATAGCCCTGTCTTGCCTGCTGGCTTCTTTCAAGTCTTCACTCTAGTACAGTTTTCTCAGTGAGGTTCTTTCCCACCCACAGCTCCATTTGGAGCTGACGATCCCCAATCGCTGCTTTGTATTTCACTTCATAACACCTACTACATGTGACATGCTGGGTTTTTTCTATTTGTGTGTGTGTCTGCTGTCTGTATGGCCTGTATCTCCAACGTGTATTCAGAAAATCATAAACTTTTCTTTTTGAATTGCCAAACGTTTAGTGTTTCTGGGCCATAAACACATAGCACCTACTCAAATATTTGTTGAAAGGATGATGAAAAGAATCAGGGATGTACTAGTATTATCTCCATTTTACAGATGAGGAAAAAGAGACCCTGAGAGGCTGCACAGGCAGGAAGCAATAGATGGGGATTTGGAGCAAAAGACTTTGACACCAGAAGCCTTACTCTTAATTTCTCATCATATTATTACTTGGCATGTCATTTAAATGAATATGCAGACATTATATTTATATGTTAACTAAAGTAATACATTAGTGACATTAACAGGCAACAGAAGAATATGTACTTATATATATAAACCAGAAGTAGATATTATACACTTATGGGCATGGCAGAATGTCTAATGAGTAACTGCTGCCCTATAAACCCCTGCTGTTCCTCTTGGGCTCATAACTTCATTGTTAGAACACTTTTTTAAATTTATATTTAGAGGGAATTGAAATGAGGGAGAAAAAAAGGGAGAAACATCAATGTGTGGTTGCCTCTCATGTGTCCCCTACTGGGCACCTGGCCTGCAACCCAGGTTTGTGCCCTGACTGGGAATTGAACTGGCAACCCTTTACTTCAGAGTCCTGTACTCAATCCACAGAGCTACGCCAGCCAGGGAAGAACACTTTTTATCCTAATTGCTTTCTTCTGCTCCTGAGTCCTCCTTAAACCTCAGACTTATTGGAAGCTACGCCCAGCCCTTGCGGACCCAAACATACTCTGTGTACATTCAGCTCAGCTGCCCCTTAGAAAACACCAGCTGAGAGACTGTGTCTGTTCAGGCGAACCTGAAATATCAGACTGTTGGGGGAAATTGATAGCTATTCTAAGACACAGCAGTGACTAGAGAGTGATTTGATATTGCAGCCCAGTTGTTTTCTTTTGGCTTCTCTGGACGACTGCTTATCGTCTGCATGCCAGAGATAAGGCTGTGGTTTTTTTTGCTTCTGTAAGCTGCCTCCTGCTTTCACACCAGAAGTAAGGGTCCACAGGATGGGCCCTCCCTTGCTCTATAAAAATAACTGCTCCCCGATGCTCGGGGCCCAGAGTTTGGAGACTGATTCCTCTGGGTCCGTGCACATAAAATAAAGTTCCACACCCGAGAGTGGCTGGCTTCTTTTCTGTAATAAGACAAGTTGTCAGCTTCAAAAACTCAGTCGTGGGAAAGGCAGTGGGTGGATGGTCCCGCTCCAAATGTGAGTAATCAGAAAGAAGAAAGGCATCATGGGTCCAAAGCCAATTTATATCTAGAAGGTCATAGTTCATCAAATTTTAAAAAATTTTAAAGAATAGTTGGTATACAGTCTTTGTTTCAGGTTCAAGACATTTATATATCTTATGCTGTGATATCATGATAAGTCTAGTAACCCTCTAGATTTTTTAAAGAAAGTTATTTATTTTTAGAAGGAAGAGAAGGAAGGAGGTAAGAGAGGGAGAGAAACGTCCATGTATGAGAGATACTTCAGTTGCCCTCAGTTGCCTCTCACATGCCCCCAGCTGGAGCCTGACCCCGCCTGCAACCCAGGCATGTGACCTGACTGGGAATGGAACCAACCACCTTTCAGTTTGTAGGCCCACAGTTAATCCACTGAGCCACACCAGCCGGGGCTCCCTATAGATTTTAAGGATTGAGAATTCGAGTCTTTGTCTTGATGCTTTGACCTTCTGGCCCTCTGAGATGGTGGCCCACATCCCATCTGCCCTGAGTGACAGCCCCCATCCATTTGTTGTCTTTTGAATCATTTATATCCTTCTTTCCATCGATCATCCTGGATGGTCTTGAATTACTACAGGGCTCTTGAAAAACAGGCTCCTTCCATCCTGTGCAGTGGACATTCTTCATTCATCTTTAGCCCAGAGATATGGATGCATTTAATCATCCACCACAGTGTCTGACAGCAACACGGCCTCTCAGTTGAGTGAAAGGTCTCTTCTTTCTCATTTTTTTCCAGCTGAGTCACTGTTTATACCCTTCCCTGTGCAGGCTGGTCCTTTGTGCTTACTCAGCAAGGGAGCAGCACCAGCATGACCATCCCCATGCCTTTCCTCACCTCCCTGGTCCATCCCAGCTGGCAAGTCGGCAGCTGCGGCAAATTCACCTGGGCAAACTTCATGCTTGAAGAGGGGATACCCCGTGCTAGAATCCGAGAAGAGAGAGTATGATTGGCCTGCAAAGTCAGGTGACAATTCTATGTCTAATCAACTGCCTCCACGTGTCTAGAGGCCAAATAAGTACTTGGAAAACAGATCCCCTGAGGAGAGCATATGAAGAGCCCTGGCTGGTGTAGCTCAGTGGATTGAGCACCAGGCTGTGAACAAGAGTTGCTGGTTCAATTTCAAGTCAGGGTACATAGGTTTCAGGCAGGGTCTTTAGTTGGGGGGGGGTTGCACTCGGGAGGCAACCACACATTGATGTTTCTCTGCCTCTCTTTCTCCCTCTTTTTCTCTACGTCTAAAAGTAAATTAATACAATCTTTAAAATAAAAAGACCACGTGAGTTCTCTGGGGGATGAGCAGTTAAAATTGACAAGTTCATACACTCCCAGGTGCCAGCTTGTACTGCCCTACTGTGTGCAGGAGAATGCCCTCTGCATACTCTGATGCATTCTGAAGAAGGGCCATTTTCACTTATCTTTTCGCATCAGTGATCCATTCTTCCCATCTAAAAGCCAACTGGGCAGGAGTGTGTAATTGGACATCTTGTTTTCCCTCATGACCTGGAAGGAGCTATTCTTGAGCACTAAGTTCATTTCCTCTGGTTCTAGCGTCTTGCCCAGGTATTGGCAGATCTTCTGTATAGTGCCTCTCGTGTCGTAAAGAAGAAAATGACAAAGAGAGGACAGGAAAGGGGAAGGACGTAGAAAAGGAAGTGAGAAGGGGAAATGGCAGGATGAGGAGCAGAAGGAGGAAGAGGAAGAGGAACAGCACAGAAAGGAGAAGTGTTGTGTTGGACGTGACCAGGAGGAAGAAAGGGAAGAAGGTGATAAGAAAGAGCACTAGTAAGTGAAAGATGGAATCAATATGAGATTCCCAGTGTAACTGAATTCACTACACTTTACCAGTAAAATGCGGGGCATAGTTTTCTGAAGAGACTTTTAGAAAGTCTTGTGGACAATTATGATGAGGATTAAGGAAGGAGAGGTTTAGGGAGGACTTGGCAAAGATGTGAGGGATTGACTTCAAATCCTCAGTGTCCCATTAAGTGATATGGTTTGTCATGAGTAACATTTGAATACCACATACAGATTTAAGAGATCTTTTAAAAAATTATATTTTATTGATTACAATTGTCCTGGGTTTTTTTTGCTTCCTTCTACCCAGTGCCCCACACTCCCTCAGGAGATTCCTCTAGCATTGTTCACATCCATGTGTCATGCATGTAAGTTCTTTGGCTTCTCCATGTCCTACACTGTACTTTGCAACCCCATGGCTATTCTGTAAATACCTATTTGTGCTTCTTATTCCCCTCACCTCTTCCCCCATTCTGCCCCTCCCCCCTCAGAGCTGGGAACCTTCCAGTAACTCTCTTCTTTCCTCTTACTGCTTTTAAGAGTCTGTCTTTATCTTTAAACTTTGGTCTTTTAATTATGATGTGTCTTGGAGTTGGCCTCTTTGCATCCATCATAGTTGGGAGTCTCTGTACTTCCTGGACTTGTATGTCTTTTCCCTTCACCGACTTAGGGAAGCTTTCTTTCCCTTTTTTTTTTTTTTTTCAGATAGATTTCCAAATTCTTTGATTTTTTTTTTGTCTTTCTGCATGGTTGATTTTGCTTCCTTATGTTCAAAATCATTGATTTGATTCTTGGCTTAAACTGTTCTACTGTAGTTTCCCTGTGAACTGTTCTTTGTTTCATTAGTGTGCCCTTCGTTTCTGACTGAGTCTTCTTATGCTGCTGAGGTTTTCACTAAAGTCCTTGAGAATCTTCATAACCAATAATTTGAACTCTGCATCTGATAGATTGTTATCTCCAATTCACTTAGGTCTTTTTCCTCGAGTTTTGGTCTGTTCTTTCATTTGAACCATGTTTCTTTGTCTCCTTATTTTGGCAGCCTTCCTATGTTTGTTTTTATGTATTAGGTAGACCTGCTTTGACTCTGTGTCTTGGTAGTGTGGCCTAATGTAGGTGTCTTATAGGGTCCGGTGGCACAGCCTCCCCTATCTCCCAAGCTGGGTACTTGAGGTGTGTCCTTTGTGTGGGCTGAGTACACCCTTCTCTTGTAGTTGTATCTTTGTTGCTGTTGGCAGGTCAAAGAGAGGGATTCACTCAGGCCAGTCAGCTGCAAGGACTGGCTATGACCACTGACCACCAACTTCCACCCTCTGTGGAGGATCAGCTGTGCAGGGGCAGGGTGTTGGTGCTTTGACATGGTCTGTAGCTGTTCACTGGGTGCAGAGACCCTGGGGTTTCCTGTGTGGTGCAGGCCAAGGTCAGCCCCCACCTGTGTTCTGCCCAGGGCCATTCTGCCTGAGCTATAGAGCAATCTGGGGTGGCTGCCACCTATGCTGGGCTTGCAGATTCCCAGGTGAAGCCAAGACATGACCCTAGACTGGCTGCCACTGGGGCTCACTGAAGCCAGTTATTGCATGTTTGACAGGATGTAGAAAACAAGACCAGCCATTCTTACAGAAAAGCAGCTTGGGTGACCCCATAAGTTGGGTGGGGTAGAGCCTCTGTGAATCTTCAAGGTGGATCACACGGCATTAGCCAGGTTGATAAAGTCTCAGAAAAGGCACCAGCCTACCAGCTCTGTGGAGAGTTTAGCAAAGGGACGACGGACTCTGCTCATTTCTATGCCAGACCCTTTAGTCTGCCCCTGTGCACCACTGGTGGCCTCCAAGTTGCTGGTGCTGCAGCTCAGAGGGAGTGAGTCTGAGTAGGTGAGTCTACCTGTGGGTTCCCAAGACCAGCTGCTTAGGGCTTCAGCAGCCTCCTGCACCAACTCAGTCCTCACTAGTTTTAACAGCCAGACATTGTGGGCACTGGAATCCTGAGCCAGGGGGCCCACTGTGGGTCTGGAACTCCTAGCTCCTGAGGTATTTCTCCTGAGATTTTGTGCACATGGACGTGGGGCCAGCCCATTCTTCATCTGTTCCCCTCCTACCAGTCTGGATGAGTGTGGTTTGTTCAATTCCATAGTCATCGGACCTCCATTCACCTTGATCTTGCAGTTGTCCAAGATCTTCTTATGTATTATTTCAATAATTAGAACTTGGCACATGGTACCAGAAGGTTAATATTATTAAAAATGAATTTAATCGTAACATTTTGCTTTGAATCATAGACATCTTTTTTAGAGCAACAGTGTTTTAAGAGTTTTTTTAATTACATGAGCCAACGTGCTATAAGAACAACAACAAAAAGCAGGACTGGAGCCGTTGCCACAATAAAAGTTCATTTTGTGGCTTGAACATACAAGTCCAGCAAGGCATGGAGGTGTGTACCTGAAGTTGCTAAGCGAGTCACAAAAGACTTCTGTTTAAAAATGGAGTTCACGTGGAAACCACAGAGGACTGGACAGAAGTGCTCAGAGGGAAGTGACATGTGTCAGACAGAAGCGCAAGCCTGTGTGGATGGTTTCTCCTCTTTTTCCCAAGATCCCACTAATAGGCCAAGATCCTCCTTCCATGGCTCAGTCACTCTTATTGGTTTAACTCCATCTGATAGCGTTTCCTGCCCATCAGCGGTCACTCCAGCCATTGGCCTGTCTGAACCATTACACAGATAGATTTCATGACTTCTTTTTTCTTCCATCAGTCAGGTTGGGTTGCCAGAAAGTTGGAGACATCTCTGGAACCAAACCTGGCTTCTACCCAGTTTCTTCTTGTTCCTTGGACCCCGCTTAGCATTAGGCTATCAGTAACACCTAGTGTGCCCTGCCCCTGGAAATTTTAGAACCAGTGTGAGGATAAGGCCCCTGTATTCTTTCTCAATGCACAAAAAAAGCCCTTAAGACACGAATGAAACAAAGAAGAACACAAGTAGAAAGATAGCTCGGAGCTTGTGGGTGCTGAGAGGGACCAGGACAATGAAGACTAGAGAGTTTCTTTCATTTCTAAGGACCCTGCCCAGGGCTAGACTTTGAAAAGGAAGAGACAGAGTCATGGATGACAGTGAAGGCAGTGAAGATGGCATTGAGATGGAGTGCTGAGCACCAAGTTATCTGCTTGAGCTCTTTGTAACTCACTATCAGGAAGTTCCCCTTCCCTCTCCTGGACATCCAGCCACGAGCGTGGTCGAACCATGATCCAAAGGACACTGCAGTGGGGGGGGGGAGGCAGAGAGAGTGGGTGCGTGACAGGCTGCGTGGAGTCAGGTGCCCCCTGGTAGCTTCACTCTTGCGGTCACACTGGCTCACATGGTGTCTGGCACATGGACAAGTATTTACTGAAGAATTGAGTGAGTGTGTGTGGAGATGGAGCATTGTTATCCATTGTTAGGTGTTTACCTGGTGTGAGCAGGGTGCGTTCAGAGTAGGCTCTGCCCCTGGTCACCAGGGCCTCCTGAGGAGACCTCCCCAGAGAGCTGGGGGGCCTGAGGATGGGCTTTCATGCTGCCCTATTCTGCCAAGTTTGGAGCTTTGGGTGGATGGGAAACTCTCAGAGCCCTGGACGCTCTTGTGTCTTCTTGCCATCACTGTTGCGATGGAAGTTATTGTTCCTTTGAAAACGAGCTGCCTTTCTTCTGGCTTATAATTTTTTTTCCAATTCCACCCCATATGTTGGGGGCCACTCGATGTGGTTTCAGAGTTTGCATATGGAGTTTTAGGAAGTAGAGAAGCAAGATGTCATGATAGGGATGACATTTTCAGGGCTATCGACTGGACTTTTTTACTCCCAGGGACAGCGGGGGCACCATTCCGACCACTTCCTCCATCAAATGGCAAAATCAAACAGAGTGTCCATGAGGGGGTTGTTTCCTTCATGTTCGGCTCCACCCCAGGGTTTCTTCAGTTGCCTGTTTTTTGTTTGTTTGTTTGTTTGTTTGTTTGTTTTCTGAAAGAAGAATCTGAAGCAAAGCAGAACTTAGGGCTGAAGCATCCAGTCAGGATCAGCTCAATACGAACTTCGCCCGTGGGCTTTGAACGCTGAACTTTTGCTCTGCAGGCAAACAATTTGGGGACTGTGGACTTGTCTTTGGGTCACAGATGATTGTCACAACAGAGCCTACAAGGTCCAAAGGGCATGCGGGAGTTGGGTGGGGGGACACTGCTGAGCCTGTCAGATTAATCCAGGTGGGAAATAAACATGAGGCTGGTTCATGAAGCACCGAGGGAAGGGATGACATATAAATACTCATTATTTAACGAAGGTGTATTAGCTGTTGATGATGTGGGAAACACCACTCTAAGTCCCGGGGTCAACAGGGAACATCCCAAAGAGCTCAGAGTTTAGTGGGGAGATACAGAGAACAGACAGAATGAGAAGATATGCTCATTGGTGCTGAGGGCCAAGGGAAGAAAGGGAGAATGTTACAGAGTGCATTTTACTGGAGAGGGGTGCTATTTTACAGAGTGCTGAAAAGGAAGATTTAGGTAAAAACAGGCATTGTGGCAGAGACCAGAATGAAGACATTCACCAGAGTCGTGGGGTTCAGGTAAAGGAGAAAGGTGAGAGCATGGGGAGGCAGGGAAGCATCAGACTCATGCCAACCCTTGGACAAGGGGTTGTCCTATTTATCCAATAAGCCACAGAGGCAGCAGGAGCAGTTTGGGGGACCCAGTGGAAGCAGTAGGAGCGGCCCAGTGAGCAACCAGCGGACCCAGTGAGGACGCAGGGCAGCAGGTTGAATGTGGTCGCAAGTTCATGAGCAGATAGACCAGTGAGAAAGTGGGCCGTGAGATGGGACCCAGCAAACACCAGCAGGGAGAGGCCACACAGGGGGCCACCATTTCCTGGCTCTGACCCTGCCCCTACATGCAGCATCACAACCCAGTGACTTGGGCGGCCCTGGCCTGGTAAACACCTAAGGCTCTGCTCCTCATAATTAATGGGAGTGAACAGATCAAAAATGGCTCAAGAAGATCTCAAAGCCCCAGGGCCCATAACTTTAAGTAATGAAGAAATAGCAAAACTTTCAGATGCACAGTTCAAAACACTTGTGATCAGAATGCTCACAGAACTGGTTGACTTTAGTCACAAATTAGAGGAACAAATGAAGGCTAAACTAATTGAAATGAAGGGAATTGCACAGGAAACCAATAGTGATGAAAAGGGAACTGAGACTCAAATAAAGGGAGTGAACCAGAAGAAAGAAAAAAATGACCAAACAGAAAAATATGAAGAAACAAGAATTCAAAAAAATGAGGAGAGACTTAGGAACCTCCAGAACATTTTTAAACGCTCCAACATCCGAATTATAGGGGTACCAGAAGGGGAAAAGGAACAGTCACCAGTGGAAAGCTTATTTCAAGAAATAATAAAGGAGAATTTCCCCAATCTGGCAAAGGAAATACACTTCCAGGAAATCCAAGAACCTCAGAGAGTCCCAAAGAATTTGGACCCAAGAAGAAACACACCAGGACATATCATAATTACATTAGCCAAAATTAAAATGAAGGAAAGAATCCTAGAAGCAGCAAGAGATAAGGGGACAGTCACCTACAGAGCAGTTCCCATCAGACTGTCAGCAGATTTCTCAAAAGAGACCTTACAGGCAAGAAGGGGCTGGAAAAAGGTATTCCAAGTCATGAAATCCAAATACCTACAACCAAGATTGCTCTATGCAGCAAAGCTTTCATTTAGAATGGAAGGACAGATAAAGTGCTTCTCAGATAAGATGAAATTGAAAAAATTCATTGTTCACCATCATCAAGGCCTTATTATATGAAATGTTAAAGGAACTTATCTAAGAAATAGAAGATTAAAAAGATGAACAGTGAAAGAACAGCAAACTCACAGTTATTAACAATCACACCTAAAACAAAAGCAAACTAAAAGGACAGCTAGATCAGGAGAGGAAACATAGAAATGAATATCTCATGGAGGGTTAGCAACAGGGTAGTCAGAGGAGGAGAAGGGAGGGAGAAGGTACAGAGAAGTAGCATAAACAGTAGGTAGAAAATAGACGGGGGGGCAAGAATAGTATGGGGAATATAGAATCTAAAGGACTTGAGACACATGGTCATAAACTAAAGGGGGGAATGGTGGGGGCAGGGGGGGTGCAGGGTTAAGGGGAATGAAGGTGGGAATAGAATAACTGTAATGGCATAATCAATAAAATAAAAAAAATGAGCGAAATCAATCTATAGAGTGAGAAGTCAGTGAAGCAATCCCCTCTGTGGATGAGCATTGACTGGGAAGTTGCAGAGGGGATGTCATAGGGCAGCAGAAATACCTTAAATCAATGTCTGGACGGTGGCTGCCCAGTCGTGTACACACATAAAGATTCGACAACCCAATACTCCAGATTAGTGCAAATATTCGCACACCTGCAAGGACCTTAGCATTTGAATATTGAAGGTATATGCTGGATTCTGCACCAGCTTTCTTTGTGAAATGATTACAGGCTTCAACTCTCTCTAGGCCTCAGTTTCCCTGTGCAGGGATTCAAACAAAAAACTGAGGAATCGCAATGTGAATACATTCAACACTAAAATTACGGGTGTTATAAAGAAGCCTGAGAAGTGATGGGTTGAAATAAAAATCTTCATTTTCTTTACCCAATCTTGTACTGAAGGACACTTAGGCTGCTTCCATATCTTGGCTATTGTAAAAATGCTGCAATGAACACAGTGATGCATATGTCTTTACAAATTAGTGTTTTGGATTTCTTTGGGGATGTACAGTATACCTTAGAATCTAGTCAATATATATAATAACTATGTATGGTGCCAGGTGGATACTATACCTACTGGGATATCACATCATAATTTTACGATTCTCTAACCACTATGCTGTACACCTGAACCTAATATAATATTGAATACTGACTGTAATTGAAATATAAAATTGAAAAAAATTTTTTTTCACTGTGATGTGACACATGGTGAAATTTCCACGAGAAGAGAATATTATTCTAAGCTTGGCAATCTAATTGAAGCACAAAACACTTGTAAAAAATCACAAACCAACTAGCACCATCCAGGAAAGTATGTTGTTAAACATCATCTGAGATGCTCTAAGATTCCCGCGGTCCCTTGTGGTGGTATCTGCAAGCCCCACAAGAGAGTCTCGTGGCTGCTAAGCTCAAGAGGCAGCTGGATCTAGGGAGACAAAGTACTGAGTAAGGCTGGGCATGGTGCTGGAGTGATCACCCTGGATTTAGCCTTCGTTTATGCATTTTCTGCTTTCCAAATGGCCAGGTCTATGTCTACTGCTCCTACCTGAGTGGCAGGAGGCGTTTATGTAATTGAGACAACCTTATTATTTTTTTAAGATTATATTTATTTATATTTAGACAGAAGGGAAGGGAGGAAAAAGGAGAGGGAGAGAAACATCAATGTGTGGTTGCCTCACACACACCCCCTACTGGGAACCTGGCCCCCAACCCAGGCCTGTGCCCTGACTGGGAATCTAACCAGTGACCCTTTGGTTTGCAGGCTAGTGCTCAATTCACTGAGCTACACCAGACAGGGTGAGATGGGCTCATTATTTTTTACAGCAACAAAAGGGGGGTTATGTAGTATGTAACACCATTATAAATTCTGCTTGGGTTTAAAACTTAGTTTTCTAAGACTCAGGCAGTACCATTTTTCTTTGCTTCTGGGTTGGACTGGGGCACTGCCCAACGCAGAATCTCAGGTCCTTCTGCCCCGCCCCCCGCCATCCAGACCTACTGGATGAGATCGCACCTCACCAGATCCCTAGGTGATTCCTGGGCACTTTAATGTTAGAAAAGCATTAATCAAACACAGCTTGACCAGTGTGCACTGACCTTGGTCTTGGACTGGAAGACAGACTTGGGGAAAAGTTGAATGGGGATGTGGGAGGTGATGAGGCGTGGGCCTTCCTTGTCCTCCAGGGCTTTGTATCCATGCGCGGTCTCGAACCAGGGTGAGCATTCCCAGATGGGCACAGATTGGATCCACGTGGGATTTCCCCTGAAGTGAATCAGGCTGAAAATTTTGATCAACCAGTTTGTTCCTGGATAAAGAAGAAAGAATGGTCATTCATTTTTGAAATCTGACCTTTATTTTATTTTTTAAAGATTTTATTGATTCATTTTTAGAGAGAGGGGAATGGAGATAGAAACAGAGGAAGAGAAACATCAGGGTGTGATTGCCTCTCAAGTGCCTTCTACTGGGAACCTGGCTTGCAACCCAGGCATGTGCCCTGACTGGGAATCCAACCGATGACCCTTTGGTTCACAGCCTGCACTCAGTCCACTGAGGTATGCCAGCCAGAGCTAATCTGACTTTTAAAAAATGTCATGATAGAATGTAACATAAACTGTGCCTCCTTAACCATTTTTGAGCATTCAGTCTAATGGGGTGGAGCATATATATTCCCACCGGTGAACAACCAATCTCCAGAAACTTTACATTTGGCAAAACTGAAACGCCATACCCATTAAACAAAAATTCTCCATTCTCTCCTCCCCTCAGTCCTTGGCAGCCCCCACCCTCTTTCTCTCTTAGCATTTGGTTACTCTCTGCAGCTAGTAGAAGTAGATCAGGTGGTAGTTCTCCTTCTGTGACAGGTGTCTTTCATTTAGTGTAACGTCCTCAGAGTCCCCCCCCATGTCTTAGGCTGAGTCAGAACTTTTGTTCCTTTTTCAGGATGAAGAAGATTCCATTGTGTGTATACACCATGTTTTGGTCACCTGTTCACCCGTCAATGGACATCTGGGTTGCTTCCACCTTTTGGCTGTATGCCTAAATCCATCGCCCTTGACTTTTCACTACGGGGCCTCTGCCAGCGTCTCCAGCCTCGGTCTGTGCCCATCTTCTAGTTTTTTTCTGCTTTTCATTCTCCTCCTAGAGATGCGATCCCCACACTGTCAGTCCCTCAACTTGGCCAGGCTTGTTTTGAATTCCTGCCCATCGTCCACACTGATACCTCTACTGAAAATATCCCTTTTCATGAAATAGTTTCACAGTTACTTTTTCTTCATCTCGATTTAGAAGCTTTTTAAAAATCTACTCCTTATATTTTGGCTCTGGTAGAGGTGTCTTTTTCACCCCTTCCTTTCAGGTTCATTCAGGTATACCCGACCAATGAAAATGGTGTACATTTAAAGGGTGCAATGTGACAATTTTGTGTCTATCTATCTATCTATCATCTATCTATCTATCTATCTATCCATCTATCTATCTACACACATGTTGTGAAACGATTACCAAAATCAAGCTAATTAAAAGACCCATCATCTCACATGATTACTTCCTTTTCTTTTGTTTCTGTGAGGACTTTGCTGGCTATTGCCCTTTGCTTCTCCACACAAGCCCCTGAGTCTGCCTTAGGATTTGCCTGTATAGGTTTCCTAACACCTTCGATTACCTGCTCTGCACACTCCTCTAGCTGTGTAACTGCCTGGTTTGCTTCGTTTCGCTCAGTGCGATTGGTATTAGGACCCAGCTTTTGTCCCTCAAACCCTGAACCTGGGGGGACAGAGAGAAAACACTTGTGAATAGATGAAAGACTCAGCCACAGTCTTTCTTGGCACCTGACCTCCTCCCTTACCTGATTTGGGGAATGACAGTGTTAAGTCATCTTCATCCTTAAACACAAAATTCTGCATTGCTCTCAGGTGCACTGGTGTGTAACTGGGAGCAACAGGGAAAGGGATCCCTTCAAACCACATGTACCCATCTGACATTACAGTGAGCTCTTTGAACCTGGTGTTAAGAGTTCCAGCTGCAGGCACCATAAGAGCCTGTGGCAGCTGCCAAGACATCACCTTTGATAAGAAAGATAAAATAATCATTAATCTCCCTGGGTTTGTTGAGGAGTTGTCTGTTGATAAAGAGACGCAGATATTGTAACTGAGAGGTGGTTAGAAGGTTGATGAGATTGAGCAAGTGTGAAAGAAACATTATGGGGTAATCCAACTTTGAATTCATGGGATGGAACCAGGAATTCAACAAGCCCAAGGATGTAGAAATGTGGGCGAATTAAAACTATTTTTAATGGAATTTAGTTTTAGAACAGTTTTACTTATTTTTTTAAATTTTTATTTATTTTTAGAAAGGGGAAGAAAAAAAGAAACAGAGGGACAGAAAAATCCATGTGTGGTTGCCACTTGCATGCCTCCTACTGGGGACCTGGTGCACTACCCAGGCATGTGCCCTAATCTAGGAATTGAACTGGTGACCCTTTGGCTCTCAGGCTGGCGGTCACTCCACTGAGCCACACCAGCCAGAGCAAAACAGTTTTAGATATACAGAAAAGTTGCAAAGACAGTATAGAGAATTCTCATACCTTATACTTTACTCAGAATTCCCTAGCTTATATCTAACCATAATTTTTCTGTCCCAGAACCCAACATTATTTCAAGTTGTCTAATATGTCTCCTCAGCCTCCTCTTGGCCTCTGAGGGAGAAAGACAAGAAAACAGAAGATATCTCACAGTGTATTAACTTCCATGAAGGTGAAAGTTAAGGGACCTATAAAAACGCATGGAGGAAGAGCTCACTAAGGTTTAGGAGATGAGTGAAGTTCCAAGAGGAGGTGATATTTACTTACTTAAAATCTCACCCAAGGACATGTTTTATTGATGTGGAGGGAGAGAGAGAGAGAGAAACATCAATGTGACAGAGGAACATCAACTCATTGCCTCCCCTATACACCCCAACTAGAAATGGAACCCACATCCTTAAGAAAGAAAATTCAACAAAATCGGGAAAACAACATCTGAACAAAAGTAGAAGTTTCACAAAGAGCTAGAAATCAGGAAGAAGAACCAAACAGAAGTTTGGTAGCTGAAGAAGAACACAGCGGATGAAATGATAGATAAAAATGCAATAGAGAGCATCAGTATGAAATGGATCAAGCAGAAGAGAGAACCCATGAGTTAGCAGATAGTAACTCCAAGATTATTCAGTCAGAGGAGAACAAAGATAAAAAGAATGAAAATAAAAAAAGTCTACACCCTGTATGGGTCACCATGATAAGAGACAGTTTGCCAATTATTGAAATCTCATAAGGAGAAGAGAGAGAAGTCAGGAAGCACATTTAAAGAAACAATGGCTGAGAACATCACAAATCTGGTGAGAGATTTGGATATCTGAGTTCATGACATTGTATAGTGCCCCCCATCTACTTAGAGCAATCTCTCAGAGACACAGTATAATAACACTTTTAAAAAGCAAAGACAAAGGGATCATTTTAAAAGCATCAAGTAGCCCTGGCTGGGTCACTAAGGTGGTTGGAGCATCATCCTGTCCAGGTTTGATTCCTGGTCAGGGCACATTCCAAGGATTTTGATTTGATTCCTGATTGGGGCGTGTACAGGAGGCAACCCACAACCTATGTTCTCTCTCTGTGTCCATCTGTCTCTCTCTTTCTCTTCCTTTTTTCTCTCTTTTCAAGATCAGTAAATATGTCCTCAGGTGAGGATTAAAAAACAAAAATAGTAAAAAGTAAAAGCATCAAGGCAAACAAAGCTTGTCAGTTACAAAGGGACCCCCCCACAAGGCTACCAGTGGGTTTCCCTGGAGAAACCTCTCAGGCCCGGAGAAGGTGGGATGATACATTCCAATTGATGAGTGAAATAAACCGCAGGTTTTGGGCACTGGGCTGAAAGTGTTCTCATATCTACCACGTTGAAAGCCCAAGATGGCAATTGTTATTTCCACTAAAAATTCTCTATCGGGTAAAGTTATTCTTGCAGAAGTAAAGGACAGTTAGAGAGTTTCCCAGACAAGTAAAAGTTGGAGTTTACCCGCAGTAAACCTGCCACCCAAGAAGTACTGGAAGCTCTTCAAGCTGAGACTAAAGGATGCCAACTAGTAACATAAACACATAAGACCCATTGGTACAGGTAAGTGTGTTTTTAGAACATGCTGATACTGTCCCATGGTGTTGTGTCATACATTTACTTCCAGTTTAAAGATTAAAGGGCAATAGGCTGTGGAAAAACTGGCCTTTCAATTAGAGAACCTAATACTTCTTCCTGTGGCAATTCCCTGGGCAGCTTTTCTGGGGAGGGTATTAAAATTTCAGTCCCTTTGTGATGAGTACCCCGATTTCTATTATCAGTCCATGGGATTTGAGGGATTTGCCCAGGTCCACGTCTATCTCCTTTCCTCATCTCTGAGAGAGGGTTATCCTGAATTACTCAGATGGGACCTAAATGTAAGAGACAGAAGAGGAGCCCTGGCTGTTGTGGCTCAGTGGATTGAGCACCAGCGTGTGAACCACAGGGTCACCGGTTTGATTTCCAGTCCAGGCACATGCCTAGGTGTCATTCAAGGTCTCCTGATTTGGGCAGGTGAGAGGCAACCTATTGCTGTATCTCTCGCACATCAGTGTTTATCTCCTCTTTCTCTTTTTCTCCCTCCTTCTAAAAGTAAATAAATGAAATCTTTTTTAAAAAGAGATAGACAGAAGAGAAAAGGACACAGACACACAGAGGAGAAGGCACACATGTGGAGGCAGAGGCAGGAGTGGGAGCTATGCAGCCACAGGCCAAGGAGTGCCTGCAGCCACCGGAAGCTGGAAGAGACACGGACAGACACTCCCCTCGGGCCTTCAGAGGAAGCACACACATGCATTCAGCTTGATTTGGACGTCGGGCCCCCACAACTGTAAGAGAATAAACTTCCCTTGGTTAACCCCCCCCCAACTTTGGGACAATTTGTTTCAGCAGCCTTGGACACAGGTGCACTGCTCTTTGAGCCCACACCACATGGCTCCCTCCAGAGCTGCAGGTGTCTTCCTTGCCCTTCAATGCCCACCAGTTCCTTCCTGCGAAGCTGAAGCTGACACCACTCAGAATGTCACACGACTTGGGGAGAGGTCTGGTTGTGCAGGCTGTTTAAGGTGCGAGGAAGGAAGGGCAGCCTCCAGAAACAGCACATTGTCAATGCAGAATTCAGAGCTTCCATTCTGTACAGTCCTCTCATCGCACATACGAAACTCACACACTGTTCACCTAGAAAGAAATGGCTTTCAAACTGGGAGGCAACAAGCATTGATTTGAGAGCAGACAAACAAAAATGAGAAATAGCTACTAGGGAAACCCTGATCCAGGCAGAAGCAAAAGAAGTTTTCTGAATAGGAGACAAAAGACCATGGAGTATTTTTTGGCATCGACAAGCTTAACATAGAGATGTTAATTCTTTTCTTTTTAAAAATTTTAGCCAAAGTTACATACAGACTAGAAATCAGAGAATTCAGAATAGGTTCATAGTTTAACATTCATTTCCTGATGTCTCTCCAATTTGGCACTGGTGAACTTCATTATCTGAACGAAGTATGACCTACATACTGTGCTTAGTTATTTGCCTTACGTATCAAATATACCTTCCTTCAGACTAATGTGTATGATTACCATTTTACCAGTTTCATTAAACTTTGTATGATGTTGCAAAAAATTTTTATTTATTTATTTATTTTTAGGACTGAACCAGTAATCCATTGAGCCACATCAGCCATGACATAGTGATCTTAATTCTAAACCATGTTTTTAAATATTCAGCCCAGTAGTCATCAGTCCAGGAGTCATAATATCTACTTTCCTGTTACCTTTCCAAAGAACCATTTGCTTCAGGCCCTGTTCTAGGTCACTTTGTCCAGTTTGAACATCCAGAGGTATAAGGCCCAGGGATGTGCAAGGCAGTTGCTCCTCTGGGGAGGCCACTCTGGCTCCATGTTAAAGTGACTCCACTTGTATTGAGGTTTACAACACAAAACTTGTGTTGAATCTGAAAAAAAAATCCAGGTAATTTTACTCCAACAGCCCCACCCCAGCACCGGCAGGACCTGCTGACATTTTGGGCAGGGAGGCCGAGTGTGTGCAAACTTCAGAGCAGGGAGCCAGTGGAACAGAGACCAGGCTTGAGGCCGTTGTCTGCCCCCAGGGCGCTGGGATGGGCCATCAATGGTCCGTGCAGACAGATCCCTAGTTCTGCTTTGAACAGAATGTTTAGTTCTCTGAGAACTGGAATGAGGCATCAGACTCTGCTTCCTTTCTCATGGAATGCAGGGATGTTTGTAGGAGCTCTTATCAACATGCAGAGTCGCATAAATGCTTTTTATAAAGATTTTATTTATTTGTTTTTAAAGAGAAGGGAAGAAAAGGAGAAAGAGGGAGAGAAAAACATCCATGTGCAAGAGATCTATTAAACAGGTGCCTCTTGCACGCCCCCTGCTGGGGACCTGGCTGGGAACACAGGCACCTGCACTGACTAGAAATCAAACCAGCAACCTTTCCTTAGGAGGCTGGCGCTCAGTCCACTGAGCCACACCAGCCAGGGCTGGAGAGTTTTTTTTCTCTTGATGGAGGAGTAACAAGGTGTCCACTGTGACTGGGACATGGGAACAGGGGGGAAAAGTGGAGTAAGATTTCGTAGGACTCAATAGGACAGCAACAGGCAGGCTCTGTGCTGGTGAAAATAAAACAAAGCAAAACAGCATTAGATCAGGAGAATCTATTGGTGTCCTCGGTGGTGCCTGATAATGGTCTTCACATCCTTGAATTGTCCTTCCCACTAAGCAGTGTGACTGGTACAACCCACAGGACGTCACAGAAATGATGGTGTGACCCCCCAGTGCTGGCTCTCCAGCTGGCAGAGGCCCCAGCTGACCCGTGGACAGGCCTATACGGCCAGGAACTGAGGCCTCCAGCCAACAGACGTGGGCAAGAGCCCCCGTAGT